AAGGCTAGCACTGAACCACTTTGAGATATAGTACCACTTGCAGAGTTTGGCTGATAGAGATAAGAGTTTTGAGCCATGCTTCCAGTCTGGCTCTTTGTAGGTTAGCTAGGAGATGGAGTCTTAGGGATTTTTCAGCCCGGGTTGGCTTTGAACCGAAATCTTTGCCACAAAAGCCCTTTATTATTTCCAATTAAAGCAACAAGGAGATCAAGTAGAATAAGTAGAGCTTACCTGGTTCTTATCAAGAATTGACCGACAAATATTCTGGAATGACAAAACTTCTTAGATGTGAGAATCTTAGCACAGATATGCCCAATATTTTAGAGTCATGTAGTCAGTACCAGAATACACAACACAAAACAAAAAAAGCAAAACTCAAAACCTAAAATTTCGACAACGTTTAGACATCTTTGCTAACAAAGCACTTCAGATGGTTGGGCCTCAGTTACCAAGGCCTGTGAAAAGAGCAACTTGTTAGCAAGGCACCTTAGAATAGATGGAGTAGTAAGCTTGGTGGAAGGTTAAGGGTCAGATGGGGCCAAACCTTTAACCCACCATGTGACCAAGATGGTGAACTCAAGATGGCGAATTTCTGAAAAAAATGCAAAGAAACCCTGAACAAATAGATGAAGCCTACATTGGCTAGCCTTTGAGAGGGAACCTAGAGGGGGGTCCCCGGGACCCAGTCTTCAGGGCACAAGGCAAAATGTAGAAAAGAGAAAGGGAGAGATAGGGAAAGTTGAACATGAATGGTAGAGAGAGAGCAAAGAGAGCCTGAAAGTAAACAGACTTCTGACCATTTACAATTGCAGTGGCAAAAACTGTCTACATCAGAGAATGGCATAAAAATGAGGCACTCTGGCTTTCCAGGGAGTGCAGGAGGCATTTCAAAGGGGTTTCACGGCTCAGGCATGATTCGCAGCACCCCATTAAATGAGTAGGAGAGTTAGTCTGGTGAGTGAAGGAGAGATGACCAGGCAGAAGCGGCGTCCCGACTTCCCCCAGAGCCCTCTAGAGAGAAATGGCCAAGCCCCCAAAACCAAGTGCCCTTGACTTCACAGGTGACTGGCCTTTCAGCTAAAGGCCGTAGGAGCTCTCTTTGGCGTGGCGCCACATCTGAAAAGAGACTGAGCAACAGAGAGTAGAGAGTATTTGCACTCACCAGAGTAGAGAATTGGTGTGGACGTGGATGTGAAGGCCAGCAACGGTATTGATGCGCTGTGTCTGTAGCAGACTGATGGGTTTGCAAAAGGCCATCAGAACTGTGGGTCTTCCTCAGAAGAAAAAGGGAAAAACAAACAGAAAAAGAAAAATGAGGGAAAAAAAGAGAGAGGCATCCCAGCTATCCTGACTTTAAGCCCTTTATCCAAGTTATGGCACCATTTATGTTAGGTTTTTAAAAAGAGGTAGCTGAGTAAGAGCTCCACACACATGGTACCCAGGTAAGGGTAGGTTTATTCAGTAGACCTGCTGGCACCAGGCAAGGGTGGCACCCCACATAGTGGGAAAGTCCTGGGAAAGAGAGAAAGCTGGGAAAGAGAGAGGAAAGAGAAAAGAGCTAGAAAAGAGCAGAGAGAGCAAGAAATTGTTTTTTGTAAAAGCCATTTTTCTTGAGCCCAACCTCTGAAAGAATAATTCTCACATTCACCAAAAATTAAACATTCTTCTTTTGAATAGTTCATTTCTTCCTTCTTCCTCATTCCTTCCCTTCCTCTTTCCCACTCTCACTTCCCTAGTTCCTTCCTTCCTTCCTTCCTCTCAGGTCCTAGAAGTGATGCTGTAGCTCAAGTGGCAGATGGTTTTATTTTTTTGTTAACTTCAATTTTTGTAAGAGATTGATTAATATTTTTGCGTGCTTGATTATTTCTGCTAATGTCATATCCACTTTGGCCCTCTATGAGATAACACATGTGTGACACATCATCCACACTTGTGTTTTGTAATAGCTCACACAGCAGAACAACTAAATGGGCTAAGAGTGAATCAATCATAAGTTGTTCATCACCAGTGATTAATTAAAGAAAAGAGCAAGCACTGAAGACACTTTGGGGTTCTCCCCCAAGGCAAAATGCAGAAATTCTAGTCTTTATTGTCCATCATTTTTTTAAATATATATTTTATTGTAAAGATACTGTAAAGATTAGATATACCATTATATGAGTTAGCTAATGAATACATTTCCTATTGAGCATTGTTACCCCTCCGATAAAGACTTTATTGCTATGTATGGACTGCAATAAGGACTAATATCTTCCATTAAATCTTCCATTCAAAAACTGAACTGGAATAAGTAGGTCATTTGTACTATAAGGCATGGATCACACATACAGAGGGAGACTTAAGGGAGCAGTAGAAAAATGGTTGTTCTCATGTTCTTGCTTCCTATCATAACAGTCTTTACTCATCTATTCTTCCCATAACCATGTTGGAGATGATCTGAATCCAGTCCCAAAGGCCCAGAACTCATATTTCTAAGAAGAGTTTATCAAATTACCCTGAAACACCATTCCTTAGTATAAAAGACACAAGTTAATAACTTCAATCTCTGAATTACTTGTCGTGACTGGTTATTTCTACATGCTTTGAATAATATTGAACGACACCACCCCGACTCAACACTATAAGAGGATGAGAAATGTTGGCTCAAAGACAGCTGAAGAGTGAAGAATGGTTTCCAATCACACCTAACTTACCCATGCCATGAAGAATTTCTGTGTATAATTTACAGAGGTTTTCTGACAAAGATTTTCCTACATTGGGTTTCTTTCCTGGGTGATTTTTTTTTGGGGGGGTGGTAAGGTTGTGGGGCATGAACTCTGGGCCTGGGCACTGTCCTTCAGCTCTTCAGTTCAAGGCTAGTGGTCTACCACTGGAGCCACAGTGCCACTTCCGGCTTCTTTTTGCTTATGTGGTGCTGAGGAATCCAACCCAGGGCTTTAAGCATGCAAGGCAAGCACTATATCACTGAGCCACCTTCCCAGCACCTTCTGGGTGAATATTTTAATAATTGCTGAAGATTGCCTTATGGTTGAAAGACTTCCTCTCATGTTTATATTTACAGAGATTCTGTCATGTGTCCAGGTCTCTGATACCTGTACAGATGTGACTTCTGACAAAATGTTTTCTATACTCATAATTCCTCTCCTGTGTATGATCTCACATATGCTGACGACTCATTTCTGATTGAAAGTCGTTTCAAATATGTTCTATTCACTACTTTATTTCTCCTATGTGAGTCAGTTCTCTGATGAACACTGAGGTATACCTTTCAGATCAAAGGCTTTACACATTTGTAATATTTTTAAGATTTCTCCGCTGTGTGTTCTATGAACTTGGATCCATGAATACTTGGTAAAGGACTTTCCACATTTGAGATATTTATATTTTCTCGTCTGTGTCTGTTCTCTGATGCAAACTGAGTTATGACTTTCCTAGAAAACCTTTCCATTTTTCCTACATATGATTTCTCTTCTTTGTGTGTGAGAGTGTTTCTGTTTCTGTGTGTCTGTGTGTTTTGGGTGTTCTGTGATGAACCCTGAGCTGTGTCTTCTAGTTGCAGCACTCCACATCTGCTATATCATAAGGTCTCTATCCTGTATTGGTTCTGTATTGCAATTTCAATTTTCTTACAGATCAAAGACTTTCCCCATTTGGTACAATCCTAAGTTATTTCATTTGTGTGAATCAACTTACGTGTGTTAAGCTGTGACCTCCAGGTCTTTCCACACTGGTTGCATTCATAAGGTTTCTCTCCTTGTGTTCTGTGATGGATGTTAAGCTGTGCCTTCCAGGTGAAAGAATTTCCATACCTGCTACATACATAACATTTCTCTCTGGTGGGTTTTTTTCTGATGGACAGAAAGTTGTATGTTCTGGGTGAAAGATTTTCCACATAGGTTACATTCATAAAATTTCTCTCCTGTGTGTGCTCTCTTGTGGACAGTAAGTTGTAGCTTCTGGCTGAAAATTATTTCCACACATATGATATTCATAAGATTTCTTCCCTGTGTGTTTTCTGATGGACAGTGAGGCTTGACTTCCAGGTGAAAGATTTTCCACGCATGTTACATTCATAAGGTTTCTCTCTTGTGTGTGTTCTCTGGTGGCAAGTAAGGCATGACTTCCAGGTGAAAGACTTTCCACACATGTTACATTCATGAGGTTTCTCTCCTGTGTGCATTTTCTGGTGGCTAGTAAGCTTTGATTTCTGGGTGAAACATTTTCCACATGTGTTACATTCATAAGGTTTCTCTCTTGTGTGTGTTCTCTGGTGGCCAGTAAGGCATGACTTCCAGGTGAAAGACTTTCCACACACGTTACATTCATGAGGTTTCTCTCCTGTGTGTGTTCTCTGGTGGCCAGTAAGCTTTGATTTCTGGGTGAAACATTTTCCACACATGTTACATTCATAAGGTTTCTCTCCAGTATGTGTTCTCTGGTGGGCAGTAAGGTTTGTCTTTTTGGCGAAAGACTTTTCACACACGTTACATTCATGAGGTTTCTCTCCTGTGTGTGTTCTCTGGTGTCTAGTAAGATATGCCTTGCAGATGAAAGATTTTCCACAAATGTTACATTCAAAAGGTTTCTCTTTTGTGTGTGTTCTCTGGTGGACAGTTAGCATTGATTTCTGGGTGAAAGACTTTTGACACATGTTACATTCATAAGGTTTCTCTCCTGTGTGTGTTCTCTGAGGGACAACAGGGTGTGTCTTCTCAGTGAAAGACTTTTCACATTGTTTATATTCTTCAACTACAGAAGACAGATGAGGACTATATACAGCACACATCTTACCAGGTTCACTGAAAACACCCATGTTCTGACACCCAGTAACCTTTTCTATCCTAATCCCTAAGGAGTTCCTATTATTCTTAATCAGTTCTGACTTCTGTACGGAGCTCATATGAAAACTTCTTATAAGTCTCACTTTTTCCTCCCCTTGGTTATTATTCATGACTGCGACTTCAGAGAGATATTTATTGTGACTTTCCTGACAGGTGCTAATCACATCCTCCAATTCTGGGACATCTAAAATGGAAAACATAAATGAGATCCATAAATTCCTTACTGTAACGATATTTCCTCACATTCTGTTACTAGATTTTCAAATATCAAAGCATTGCTTTATGCAGCAATGTAGTAATTAAGAAAGTAGTACTGACATTTTACAATGGAAAATAATGTTTTTCTGTATTTCTGATTTAGTATTTTTCTACAGGAAATATTTACTCAAATTATTCATCTCCATACTCTTAATGCTTCCATTCTGAATTGCCCTCTTTGCCCAGCACCACTGATAAGAAATTGTCCCGATTAGAGGATAGCAGCCCTAGCATACTCCTATTTTCCTCCTACCTGCATAATACTAGTTTAAAAGAAAATGAGATCTCCTCTTCCACATTTGTTTTTGTCTTTTTCTCTTTAAGAATGACTTCTCTACAGACAAAGAGAATTGTTAACATTAACTGCACTGGCGCACCAAATTCAGTTTTTTTCCACGGGAGTTCTGGATTGACAATTTCTTGAGACTAAGGATAACCTAGTTCTCTGCCACACATGACTCAGGGGCACTAGGAATACTATCGCTCTGTACAGCTCAAGATAAACAGACCAACTGGGCTCTGGACCCACTATGACCAGTGTAGATGCTTTAACTCACCTGTGAAATTCTTGTCTGAGGCTTCTCTTATCCATGGTTCTGCACCTTGCTCCAGCTTCACAATCAATTCAGGTTTAGGACCACAGTGCCCTGTGAATAAGAAAGAGTGGAGAACAATTGCTCTTGCTGAGTCATCATTAACGTAAGGTCGCAGACATCCTGTTCACAAGGTTGTTCCTTTTTTGGGAGGAGGGGGTCCGGTCCTGAGGCCTGGACGCTGTCCCTCAGCTCTTCAGCTCAAGGCTAGCGCTGTACCACTTGAGCCACAGCGCCACTTCCGGCTTTTTAATTTTTGCTTATGTGGTGCTGAGGAATCGAACCCAGGGCCTCAGGCATGCAAGGCAAGCACTCTACCACTGAGCCACCTTCCCAGCCCCAGGTCTCTCAATTCTTAATAGCTCCATGGTGGAGTTTCCCCCAGCATTGAGTTTATTGTGCCAGTTGTGTGGCTTGAACTCAGCTCTTTTGCTCAAATCTAGCATTCTAATAATTTGAGTCCTGGCTACATTTCTAGTTTTTGAATGGTTAATTAGAGATAAGAGCCTCATGGTCATTTTTCTACAGTTTCTGGCTTCAAGACAAAATCTTCAGATTTCAGCCTCCAGAGATTCTAGGATTCAAAGCTTGAAGCACTAAACCCTGTCAAGTTTGGCTTACAAATACACACTTTTAACTACTGATTTCCAGATCATACTGTCAGTAGTAATGTATATGCTTTCTAGACTGTAGATCTACCTATAATAATCACCCCAAGGTTGGGAAGTCAGTCTCCTATTAGTGGATCATAGTTTAGAACTTTTGTCCAACTACTGATTAGGCTTCTTAAAGAATGAGAATACAATTAGCTCTTGAGTTACATATAATAAATGTGAAGCTTCCCTTATAAAAAAATGACACTTCCCTAGTACTAGAATCTTTTTTTTTTTAAAAGAAAATGTAATGGTCCAAAGGCTTACACCTGTAACCCTTCATTGAGGAGATGAGATCAGAAGAGGCAGGCTTGAAACCAACCTGGGCACTGAAACCCAGAATATACCCCAGAACAAAAGCCAAAATGGAGTTGTGGCTCATGCAGTAGTGTGAAAGGCAAAGAACACCAAGCTCTCAGACCTGAATTTGGCTGGCTTTTATACTAGCAGTTTTTTTTACCTGGGAATGGACTGGAATCTTGTACCTAAATAACATAAACAGTCAAATGTCTACTAAAATAAAAGGACTTGACCTTCCATGTAAAAGTGATCTTTGCTCACCAAAGGACATGAGGTTGCTATAGGTCTCCAGCATTACATCTCTGTGAAGGGTCCTCTGACCAGGATCCAGATCCTGCCACTCCTTCCAGGTGAAGTACACAGCCACATCATCAAATGATATCAGCTTCTGTAATGGCACATTTCCATCAAGAAATCAGACGTGGGTCATGAGAATTCCAATCTGGAATTTCATTATACTGCAGGTATGCTCTTATCTTACATAAAATGTTTGCAGCTTGCTGTGTTATCTATTCACTGGAAGAATTAAATAGCAAATTAAAAATATTTGACAATATATAAACCTGGTCATTAAAATACACAGATTGGCAGGACACTGGTGGCTTATGCCTGTAATCCTAGCTATTCAGGAGGCTGAGGTCTGAGGATCAAGGTTCAAGACCAGCCCAGGTAGAAAAGTCCATGAGACACTTATCTCCAATAAACAACCAGAAAACTGAAAGTAGCACTGAGACTCAAGTGGTAGAGCACTCACCTTGACCTGAATTGCTGAGGGACAACAACCAGGATCAAAATTCAAGCCCCAAGACCATAAAAAGAAATTACAGTTTCCCCAATGCATGCAAACACATTTCTGCTGCTAGCAATAGAGACAATATTAAAAACTCTGAGGAGACAATAATCTGGCATGACAACAATAAGTCTAAGGAGGTGTCTGATAAATTATATTATCATTTTTGATAAAATTTTAGTACATATCAGGGTAACAATGAATTAAACAAATATTTTTTCTGCATTTACATATACTGCTTCACCCTAAATCCTATTTAGACTTTCTATTAACACGTATTCTCATAAGGAAGCAGAACACATTCAGGATATCACACGGAATACAGAACATAGAACATTACTAGATCTATGAAAAGCAGTGTCCATATGAATGTTAAAAAAGAGTAACAGTACTCCAGAAAGTAGCTAATGATTTATTTGGCCCATATAAGATTTGATTTAGTTCCCATATAAAAATATCCTAGGTTAACCATGTTTGGTTTAAATACTAAATATTGAAATGTGGTCATAGATACCCTAATATTTCCATCCTATGCAAAAATGAACTGTTACCACGAAGTTTTGTAAACTTTGCCTACATTCTACAATACAAAATACAGGTGGGAGGGGAATAAAATATTACTTTACAAGATTTTCATTTTAATAGGCTTCATGGAAGGTGGAGAAAATGTATAGAAGCTCAAAGAAAACTCAATATGAAAAAAATGATAAATATGACCAACTTCTCAAATGTGTCACATATTACTGAGTTACTAGTCCAGTACACTGCTAAGGATATATTTCCACTTGTGTTAGTTAATAGCGAAAATCCTCAGAGATCAAAATCAATTCCTGAGCAAACATCTGTGAGATTTTGCAACAAGTGATATTTCTAATAGAGAACACCTTGTCACTCTATTTTTTTTTAATCAAAACCAGTTCTTCTCATGTAGTGGCAGTGAATTAAAATATTCAAAAGTAGTGAGAAGGAAAAACAAAACAGAATACCACATCAAATGAAGTTAGACCAAAGATAACATAATCAGGAGAAAAGTGATTTTCTTGTAGTGTATCAATTGGGGGAAGGAAGTACGTTTCTGTAGGGAAGTCTGAAGTTGAGCTGAAGGGGGAAAACGTTTGAGAGGCTGGAATTCCAGCCTGACCACAATGAGAGCACTGAGAGCTGGCCCCAGAAGGCTTAAAAGAGAATTCTGGACAGGGTTAAGAGACTGGAGTGCAGGCCTTTTCCTTATTGTTGGAAAGATAGAAAGTCAGCATCTGAACCTTAGCTGCTGTTGACCTTGAAGGCTAGGTAAGGTGAACTCCATGTCTGGATTTCTCTGGGAGCCAGTCTTCTGTCTCAGGAGAATAAGGAAACATGCATCCCTCACAAACTGTTGTGGCTCTGATTGTAATATTAATATAGATATTTCAATTTTGCATGTTATCAATGGTAATCTTCCCTGTGTGCACTCAAGGAGCTATGCTTGCTTGCTGGCACCCAGGAACCAAGTGCCAGAGAGCCTTGGGATCCCTGGTTTTCCCTAAGTCTATCTGTTTATGTTTTTGTGTTTCTCTAATTTTCTTTGTTTCTGGAATCCTGTAGAACTCTCTAGGCAACAATTTTCCTATACAATGGGTAGGAAAAATTTCAATCCTAAGAACCATGTCAGCAAAGTAAAACTGATCACTAAGAAAAAGTGGTTCCCAGATAGATCATCTGAAGAAAAGAAACTACTGAGACACATATGGAGGAAAGAGGGAATGAGAAAAGTAAGAAAAAATGCTAGAAAGATAGATAGAAAGAGAGAAAAATAGAAAACTAACCTACACTAGTGAGTAGAAAATCAAAAAATAGAGAGAAAATAGAGGAAAGAAATCTTGTGAGGATACTTTAGAAAACAAACAGGAGGGCTGGGAAGGTGGCAAAGTGGTAGAGCTCTTGCCTTGCATGCATGAGGACCTGGGTTCAATTCCTCAGTACCACATAAGCAAAAAGAAAAAAAAAAACAGAAGCGGTGCTGCGGCTCAAGTGGTAGACCGCAAGCCTTGAACTGAAGATCTGAGGGACAGCGTCCAGGCCCAGAGTTCAGGCCTCATGACTGGACCAAAAAAAGAAAAGAAAAGAAAAGAAAACAAACAGGAATTTGTAGAAAGACCATAAAGTTTAGCAACAAATATAGCCTAAGTTTCAAGTAAGACCAAGCCCATGAAGTAGTCCAAGAAGTATATTTGGAGAGTAATTTAAGTACATATAGGTTAATCATTCCTTAAGAACACACGAATGTGTGTGTCCACAACACTATTTCAGCAATTCCAGGAAAATTTCATTGAGATAGTTTAATGTTACTCATGAGGATGTGATCTGGTGGCAATCTATCCTTCACCTTCCATGAGAAGTAACCTGCTCAGTGTCATTACATCACATAACAGATTTGATTATATTTTATGACAAGACAAAACCTAGACATTCTGAAGCCAATCTGCATTCAACTTAGAAAGAATATAACCATTTAATCTGGTAAACCTACAAGCAGGAAGTGGCGCTGTAGCTCAAGTGGTAGAGCGATCGCCTTGAGTTGAAGAGCTGAGGGACAATGCCCAGGCACAGAGTTCAAGCCCCACGACCGACAAAAAAAAACCAAAAAACAAAAAAACCTACAAGCAATCTTTATCTGCTAATCTATAAGCCAACTTTATCTGATTTATGAATATGTTCCTGAGGCTGAATCTGTGTGGTTGGTATTGTTTCTAATTCTTAGACATTTGTAGGTTCATAAAATGGAATGGAAAACAAATGAGAAATAAAAAAACAACTCACCAGAGATCCATTCATTCTGTCTTGCTGCGGACGATGAGCAGAGGATTCTGGAAGCATGGCTGGGATATAAGGGAAATGACGGATTCAGAAATGAATCTGTGAGATTTTGGGCCCGGAATTTCCTCTTGCAAACATAATACATAGGCTGGAAAACGGTAAAGCCATCTTAAAAGAATCGTTAATGTCTCAGGCAAAGCATTAAAGTCTCCAATAAACACAAATCCAGTCCATTTCCTGGTAGATAGGTATTATTAAACCAACTAATTTCTATGTTTATGTACATGTGACATTTGTAAAACTGAATGTTCCTACAAAAAATATTGAATAACTGAAAGCAAAAACATATCACATTTCCACAAAACGTAGTTATTACTGAATATACTTCATGATGTATGAACTGCTTTTTTTAATGTGAAGGTATACTAGGAATTCATTGGATTTGTGTTCTAACATCATTTACATATTTAAACACCATGGAAATCATGTATGATGTAACTCAGTAGTTTTCACCCAACGGTATAGAGGAAAATATATACAGAATATATTTCTTGTGTTATAATATTAAAATAATGGTGTCAAATGGCACATTTCATTGTACCCATTGCACACCTGTGCAATGACTTGCAATTTGCCATTTAACATGCTTTGGTAAAAGGGACATGAGTAAAGATGAGGTAAACCCAGATTAGAGAAGTCCCGAATGTTCATTTCCCTTAACAGTCAAGGGAAGATCTTTGGCCATCCTAAAAATACAACATAAAATACTCCATATAGGAGTGACACACCTGAAGATAAGCAACACCTACAAATCATACAACCTTGAGTAAGACATATTACCTCAACTTTTCTACTGTGATTTTTCTTTGAAGGCCATATGTCCCCGAACAACACTTTCTGCACTACCAGGCACAACCAATCGATTAGAGCTAGCATTAGCAAATCCATAGATGGCACATTTAAGATAAGTTTCACTGATTTCATACTAAAATTCCTAGTGGTAATCCAGGCTGAATAAATTAGCAGGAAGAGCATTAGGGATAAGTACATGAATAGATACTTTCAGTCATAACAATTACCCCACCATCCCAAACCACAGCCTCAGGTACCCTCTGATAACTATGCTCTGGCTTATTCCTCAAGCCAGCTCATCAAGACTCCTATAAATTAGTTTAAATCTTATAACAACACAAAATGATTGAGAGTGGTGTAGGAAAGAGTACCACGTGAATCTGGTGCTCAGGGAAGTAGCAATTTTTGCATAAGGCAAGGGAAGCTAGCAACATCTTCCCCTTCCTGTGCTTTTCTGCTTCTTTCCTTTAGGGCTTCTCAGAATTGACAAGGTGTGTCCATTTAGGATGGAGATTCCTATTCATAGGGTGCTCTGCTTCAAACATTGCTAGACTTCATTCCTAAAAATACAGGACTAGCACTCACTACTCCAATATCCCGTGTACAACTGTCTCTAGAAACAGGGTCGTGAACAAACATCTGTGAACTCAAGACAGGAGATTAAAACCTCAAGCCAAAAAGATTAAAATATCTCTAGAAGAAACAACACAGAAGCCCCAAATACAACTTCAATGTAAGAGGACTCAAGGCAGGCACACACCTCACAATTTCACTAGAAGTCTTCCTGTACTCCTCTTCCACCTGGGCAAAGCAAATAAAGTCACATGCGATAATAGAAGAATCCCTTGGTCTTGGAGTACAAATTCACAACTCTTGGGCTCTCCTTGTTTGCAGAATCACCAAGCTTGCTCTCA